GTCTTCGGAACAAATGGACCTCACTGTAAATGCTAAGCACCTGATCAGATTACGTTTGTATTTCATCGGTACGAAGCTAAGGAAGTGTGTATACTGAGCTTTGGTCTCTAGCTTTCTAAATATATGGTTCTTTTGACGGAACCATCCTCTCTCTTCTCGTTAGTAGGACATCAGATGACATAGGCGCTGGTTGGTGTCCAGTCACTTTAAAATCACGAATTCCTAGAAGTTTGCATTCATGCGTTGGCCATTGAGGAGGAGTTGGGTCTCAGTGGCTGGCTGATGAAGGTCCTGGATTTTGAAACCCAGTGGGTGGTGGGGCGCACTAGGACGACACAGCTGTCCAGTACTCCCTCTAGTTCAACTTTCAATGGTTGTTTATTCTCTAACTCATGCCAGTCCGTGCATGGTCAAATATCTTAAAACAAATCAAATTTTTATGATCCAACTAACTCTTCAAAATAAAATTTAAAAATATGTTGGTTATGCAGTAATTTCATGTAATCCGATATTGTCCTATTTTGTGTGGGTGTGTTTGGTTAAAACAAACTGAAAGAGGAAAGAAAACAAAAACGAAAATGCGCATAAATTGTATTATTACTATTATTATTATTATTATTGATCTTGTTACTAGACATTCTATTGTGAATACCATTCGTCTCTCCTTACTGCTTAATACCTAATTCTTGTTCAATATGTGTCTGTATATACACATATACATGCATTCGATATATATATTATGGTTATTAAAATCGATTAAAAAATAATTTCAAATTGATTGATTGTTCTGCAGTAGTACGACGTCTCTTCCACGTTTATGCATTTTATTTTATTAGAGTGCATATAAGGTAGGCAAATATATACATACATACACTCATTGTCTGACTAGCCATATGAGGGAGTTATGTGTGTGTGTGTGTGCGTAGGTGTGTGAGTGCGTGTCTAGTCTTCAATCCTTGTGTTGACTGATTGATTTTTTATCAATCAAGTTTACGGTGTGTAGTTAACACTATCCTAGGTAATGCGGGCATGGAGATGCACTTTGTATATTGGTATTATGGTTGCCTTCCTTTGGGGGGGGGGGTACCGAGTGGAACTCCATTTTTTCCTATTTTCTGTGGTCCTTTTTAGCTAGTTAGCTCTACAATTGCCCATTATCTCTCATCTACTCCCTTTCACATGATCTCCTCCATGTCACCCTTGAAGAGTGACATCCTACTAGTCACTTCCCATTGGGATTCCACTAGAGCGATGAACTGGCGATGGAGAGATGTCATTCGACGATCTTCTCAGTTGGCGTGTTTCCTATCCATCTCCAATTTCTGCTACAAATTTGTATAGGCGATAGGTTTTCGCCTGTGTCGCGCATTTCTCGTAGGAGATAAAGAAAAAATATCAGGTGAAAATAAAACACGTAATTCAGCGAAGAGTCTCCTGTCGGCGACTTCATTCATTCAGGTTTACAATCGCAATTATATATAATTACTTTTGTATGTGTGTGTACATTGGGTTTACTGGGGAGCCCTGGTTCATTAGTTGCTTGACTCATATCCTGTCTAGAAGAGTTCAAGAATACTATCACACATGACAGCATAAATGTTGTAGCGGCTCTATCAGGATGAGCGACAGTCAAACACCATGCCAACACTGGTCATTCCACTTCAACAAACGCCTCCTCCTTCCAAGTGATCTACAAAGTGAAGAATAATCCCTTTCAAAGGGAATACTTTCTTCGTCTCCTTTCTATTAACTGAAGCCTTAAGCTATTCAGTTTTTGAAAAAAAAAACAACAGAGTTATGCATACAAGAGAAAATCTTTTAGCCACTTCTTTTGTCATAGCAACAACCTTGTTTTGTTCATTTCTACTGACTTCGTTTTTGTGTGCTTTTTTGTCTTTCTAACTGCTCATAACTCTTACGTAATTCCATAATTTTCCTTCATTTCTATGTGCCCATCCTGATTACAACTCATTGACTAAATTATGCATCTGATTATGTAACCTTAATATGCTGTAATGTCAGTAAAAAGTTTGAGCATTGTGGATTAGATCAAATAAAGTATAATTATATTTCAATAGTTTACACACACAATGATAAGTTTTGTTAAGGTAATATTTCAAGCAAAATTCCTGCCCGTGTTCACACCACTGTTGGAATTGTTTTATTCACACATTTATGAGTTGTAATCATATATGTAGTTCATTTTTTGTTTATTCATGTTTTTGTATTCAGAATTATATTCCAGATTGTTGACAGGTGTAATGAGTCACTTGTTACATGTATCCGGTGTGACTTTAATGAATATCGATTCTGTTATAAGTCTCTCTTTCCATTTGTTCATGTTAGTTTTTAGAATACACACATTGTTCCAATCGATATTGTGGTTTTTGTCCCATGCATGTGCAGCTATCGATGAATTTTTTTTTCAAGATTCTTGTAAGCTTGTGTTCCTGTTGGATGACCTTTAGTCGGTTAGGCGTTTATGTTCATTCACTCTTATTTTGAGTGATCTGGATGTTTGACCCACATATTTAGTCGGACAGTCAGCATAAGATATTTTGTAAATCACATTGTTTTTATCCATCATTTTTATGGGATATTTCAGTTGATTTATTTTATTTTTGATTAAATTCGTCGGTTTAAACGTTGTGCGAATACCGATATTTTTGAGGTTTCTTCGAATTGCATCTGATGTACCATTTTTATATGGTATTGTGACTGTTTTTTGCATTCTTCCATCTTGTCATTCTCCGGTTTTACCCTCTTTTTTATAAATTCCTTTGGGTAGTTGTTTTCGAGTAGCATTTTGGATATGACGTTTATTTCTTTACACTGGTCCTCTGGTGTTGTTGTAAGTCTACGTATTCTATCTGCAAGACCTTGTATTAATAATCCTCGTTTTACCGTGAGTGGATGAGCTGAGTGATAATCAAGGAATCTTCCAGAGTGTGTGGTTTTTCTATATAGTGTCATTTTTATGCTACCATCTGTTACTCTTTGTATTTTGCAGTCTAACATAGGCAGTTCCCCGAATTGTTTCATTCTCTATTTCCATAGTGAATTTTATTGAGTCGACATGACTGTTTATGCGTGTTTCTTTCTCACTATTACTAACGTGTCGTCTACATATCTCCGCCAACATTTTAATGATGACCTGAATGGTTTAAGGGCATTCTTGATATAAGAATAAAACTTGTGCACTGTGGTAGAGTGTAATTCCATTATGGGTAAATTTTGTTTTGATAAAGTCTCACAGTATTATACAGTAATGTTTACTGATAACGTTTCGAGCACAATTTATTGCTCATAATCATATCAAGGTAATCACACGACTTCCTAAATTCATTTATATAGTTCCATTGTTTTTCACTTGATTTTCACTTGATTTGATTGGTAGTATTATTTTCCATATTTCAGGTATGAGTGATGATTCATTCCTATTGCATGTGTTGGGTGTAGATTCGATGAACCAGGATTCAGTAATCAATCTCTCTCGCTCTCCACCTACCTAGATTACTTCTTAGAATCTTAACACTCTCCCACCCTGTTGTGTGGTTGTGTGTTAATGCATCCAGTGCAATATAGTACTGAGCTTTTTTCTAAATTACTTATCTTCTCTGGGTCAACTATTCTTACCTTAGCTAAATTCTTATGTTCTGACAATCTGACTACCCCCTCCCGATCTATTAGTTTGACCTATGTAGTTGACCTCACTCACAGTCATTGCAGGGTATTTTGTAAATCATATTATATTATTATTATTATAAATTATATTACAAAATACCCTGCAATGACTGTGAGTGAGGTCAACTACATAGGTCAAACTAGTAGGTCAGGGGTAGTCAGATTGTCGGAATATAAGAATTTAGCTAAGGTAAGAATGGTTGACCCCAAGAAGATAAGTAATTTACAAAAAATCTCAGCAATTGCAATGCATGCATTAACACACAACCACACAATAGGGTGGGAGAGGGTTAAAATTCTAAAAAGTAATCTAGGTAGGTGGAGAGAGAGGTTGATTACTGAATCCTTGTTCATCGAATCTACACCCAACACATGCAATAGGAATGATTCATCACTCATACCCGAAATATGGAAAATATTACTACCAATCAAATCAAGTGAAAATCAAGTGAAAAACAATGGAACTATATAAATGAATTTAGGAAGTCGTGTGATTACCTTGATATGATTATGAGCAATAAATTGTGCTCGAAACGTCATCAGTAAACATTACTGTATAACACTGTGAGACTTTATCAAAACAAAATTTACCCATAATGGAATTAAGGGCATTCTCTTCCCAAAAATCCATGAATATGTCAGCTATTAGTGGTGACATATCACCATGGATTCTGGTGATTGATTTTGATGACGTAAACAGTAACCCTAACTAGTTTCTATTCTTGTCTGACAAACCTAATGTACACACAAATACACACGACCTGATATCAGTTAGAGAACCATTGGAACAGCCGTTTCTTCAGCCTTGTTTGGAACTCTTCACAGTACGCACCCACCATAGGGGTTCAAACCCAGGACCTTCCGGTTACAAGGCAATCTTGTAGACCATTCATCCATCGGCACCCGACTTAATGGTTACGCCATGAATTCCAACTTCTGCAATTCGTGATATACACACTTAGCGCAATCGCCAACCAATGTCACGGGCGAGTAACTGTCCTCTTGCCTGGTTACAACTTCCCCAGGTAACTCCTTGTATAGGGCCAGTCACTAGTGATCATCAGGTTCATTATCAATTAATTACTTTCATAAGGAATCCCAGTGGCTTAATGGTCTACGAACTCGCCTCGTAACTGGAAGGTCGTGCGTACTGTGAAGAGTCCCAAACTAGGACGAAACGGCCATCCGATTACTATTTTACTTGAATATTCTGAACGAAGAGAAGGTATCATGCAATGAAGACCACTGAGGATTCTGTGCAGTATATAAACACTGTTCAGGATAAGGCTATTATTATTATTATTGACAATCTCTAAATGAAGCAGTCTCTACAAGAGGACAGGTCGGAACTAGTTAAGAAATCAATCAGTAAACCTGATGAAACAGCTGTTTCACCCTGGTTGTGAGTGTCTTTGAGCAGTGCTCACCAGCTGCCCTCATTTGTTTTCATATCTCTTAATTAACGAACTACTAACAGCTACCAAAGAGGTTTGAGTTTTTTTTACACTATGAATACAACACAACACTTTACAGAGTCGTATGGATTGATCCAATCTCATGATTGTTGTAATATTGATGGTAACATGATAGAGAGTAAGTCAAGTGTTTCTTATCTTGGCATTAGTTTCTCTTCAAACCTTTGCTGGTCGTCTCATATTCTTATAGTTTCTAAAAAGATTTTCTGTCTGACTTATTACATAAAGAAGTTGAGGCACTCAGGTATAACCCAATCTCTTCTCATACAATTTATTAATTCATGTGTTTTGCCCATTATTCTTTATTGTTCTCCATTATTCTTCCCTGGGCTACTCAAAAAAGACCATATAATACTACGAAGAACATTGAGGGCTGTAAGTAGGGTCAGTGCTATCCCTTTGACTCAACTAACCGACACTGTTGTCAATAGGCATATGAATTCTTGTAAACACTTAGCTAAAGTTATTTTGTCTGATAGTGAACATCCTCTTTATTCACAATTGTTTCCTTGTATCTCTTCGGGTAAGACCAGAAGAAATTTCATAAGCATTTATGCTCGTACTACAAAATATAAAAATTCGACCGTACCATATTTGGCACGAGTATTGTGTGAAGAGACAAATATCAGAAAAGAACTTTTACAACTTTTAAATCATTAAACTATAAAATGTAATGATGCATATTATTGCATGTGTGATTTGTTATATTATTTATTTATTATTCACTATGACCTAGAAATGGTGTGATTTTGTTGGGGTTTTTTTTTCCTATTAATTATCAATATTTTTAACATTTCATACATTTATATAATTATAAAAAGAGCTAAACCAATGCAATATGTAAAATGAAACGCTGAAAATTCCAAGCTGTAAATTGTTATTGTTGTGGAATAAAGTGATTATTATTATTATTATATTATCATATATATAATGTTGTAATTTGTGTTTGTTTTCCATCCCCCTCCCCCTCCCCATTTTCATACAGCTCTCAGCCACCGTCATCGAAAGAACCAAGTTTTGTCCAGGACACTGACCAGGAGAAATTAGTTACTCATATTCATGAGAAAGAAAAAATTAAGATTACTATTCACACAGTAGAGAAATGTTCAACAAATCAGTCGCCACTGCCACCGCCGGCTGTTGTTGACACAAACAACCATAACAACAACAACCAGATCGAAGACATCCCACGGAAGGATGTTGTTGTTCACCATCAAGAAGAAAGCAATGACGAGATCAGACTGGTGACAAATACTGTTAAAATAATTCCTGTAAATCAAGAAAAATTGAACAGACGAAAACGTAAGTATACAGATGAAAGATGTGAAGATCCGGCTAGCGGGCGAAGTGTTCCTACAGCCAATGAAGGCGATAAAATCCCTACAGATAACTCAAACATTAATGCTACAATTCATCAGACAATATATAATGAAACGCTTGTGATTGATCAAAGTAAACTTGACCTTGTAGAGCACTTGAAACCAAATGATGAAGAGATGCACTCCACCTCATCACCATCCTCTGTTGTTGGACAGTTGAGTCAACACCATCAGCAGATGAAGCCGCAACAAGAACAGTCACCAACGGAACAGCCTCATATAAATATTTCGAATAAATCCACGAAAAAGCATAAGAAAAAGAAGAAACATCCGTTGGAGGCGGCACCAGAACAGACTACAGAGACAGGTACTACTGACGTTCACTGTGAATCAACGCCGGGTCTTGTCAGAAGTGAATTGAATGATATAGCCATGCTTGTAGACGAGGAGTGTTTGATCAAAGCTTCAGAGGAAACAGTGATTCTTGAAAACTATTATCAAGAAAATGTAACTTTAACTACTACTACTAGTAGTATGAATAGCACCCAGCCTGAAAATGAAAACACCGGAGAAGCTGTTAAAGTGATGGCTAAACCAAAATCACCCCTTAGTAATAATAACACTGAAGTGCACTTCACAGGTCTTGTTTCCTCGATGTCTCCAATGACATCCGTATCAGCTATGAGCATGTCTATAGATAGTGGACACAGTGGATCGAATGACACGACACTCTCCTTAGTAGAAAGAACCACCTTGGAGACAGACACTTCATACACTACTATGTCAGTAAGTCCACAAGTATTCGATGGTAGTAGTAGTCGGATATCTACGCCTTCTTCAACATCGACTAGCGCGATGATGGTGCCTGAATCGAATCAACCCTCCAAGTGGTTGTCCTCTGATGAAGTAGGAGTAGGAGTAGTACCTCAAAAACACGGTGACAGCTGTGTTGGAACCTCACATGATCAAAAGATTCCCAAACAAGAAGTGACTGGAAAGATGGGTAAAAAGGCGGATAAGAAAAAGAAGGGGAAAACATCTCCAGTACCATAGAATCACAAGGGTGACTACTGATATCCCCCTTGTAGATTCTCATCCTGATGATGAATTTATCCAAAAGTCGGTTATCCAGTCGTATGCTGTTCACACTATTAAACATGATTTTGTGAACAGTGTGAATGACGGTACTACTGTCAGCCCGATAGAAAACCGAGAAACACCAGAATCGCTGATTATTCCAAGGATAATTAACTCAATGTCTACAAAAACACCTCAAGAATTTGATCGCGACACTGAACCGGCACCACTTTCAACAAAACTATCAGAGATTGAGATAGCTCCTACACAAGTAGTCAGTAATCAGTTGTCAAAGAAGGAGTCAAAGAAAAGCAAGAAAAAACATCAAAAAATCGATAAGGAGATCAATAAAACTGTAGATGCTGACTTCAGTACAACCGACAACTTTGATCAGATGATATCAATTCCAGAGAGTCCTGCACTATCTGTTGAAGAGGAAAAATGGCGGCAGGAGTCGTCGTCATTACAAGCTACAGTTGTAGAACATTTTCAACAGACTATTGTTTTGAATACCTCAATGGATGAGGTGAAAATACATCCGACGGACACCACCATGTGTGAAGTGGATGGTGAAGATCTCGAGTTAGGTGTTTCCGTGTTACCGGCGACCGATCAGGCATCGAAAAAAGAATCAAAGAAAAGCAAGAAGAAGCACCACAAAATCAATGAAGAAATCGATAAAACTGTAGATCTTGACTTCAATACAACCGACAGCTTCGATCAGATGATATCAATTCCAGAGAGTACTGCACAGACTGTTAAAGAGGCAGAATGGCAAGAGTTAAATTTACCAGACTGTCAGACATCATTACAAGCTCCAGTTGTCGAACACTTTCAAAAGACTGTTGTGAATACCTCAATGAATGAGATGAAAATACACCCGATAGATGACACCGTACATGTTGTAGACATTCAGTCAGATATTTCCACGTTGCCAGTAGTAACTGAGATAGATTCTACACCAATAGTAGTAAATCAGGAGTTGAAGAAGGAATCGAAGAAAAGCAAGAAGAAACATCAAAAAGGCAATCAGGCGGTCGATAAAACTGTCGACCTCGACTTCATTACAACTGACAACTTTGACCAGATGATGTCAACTCCAGAAAGTACTGTACAGCCTGTTGAAGAGGCAAAATGGCAAGAGTTAAGTTCTACAAACTCTCAAACATCGTTACAAACTCCAGTCGAAGAACATTTCCAACAGACTATTGTTTTGACTACCTCAATGAGTGAGATGAAAGTACACCCAACGGATGACACCGTAAGTGATTTAAGTCTTCAGTCAGGTATTTCCATGTTACCACAAACTGAGTTAGATCCTACACCAGTAGGAAATCTGTCATCGAAGAAGGAATCAAAGAAAAATAAGAAAAAACATCAAAAAACTAGCGAGGAGATAATCGATAAAACTGTAGTCCCCGACTTCATTACAACGGACAACTTTGACCAGATGATATCGCTTCCGGAAGTAACCAGCCTAGTGAAGAGGTGAAATGCAAGAGTTGATTTTTTCAAACTGTCAGACGTCACTGCAAGTGCCGATTTTAAAGCCTTCGAATCAAATTGCTGATAAGTTGAAACTATATCCGATGGACACCACCATGAGTGATGCTGCGGCTGGTGAACATCTCCAGTCAGATGTTCCCCCCATGTTACAGAAATCTATTAAACCAACAACTGTAGCAGGATTGAAAACTACCCCGTCAATTGAAAAGCTTTCAGATGAAATCCAAATCAGTTTCTGTGAGACTACGACAGTGATTACTGAAACCAATCAACCTAAAGCCTCCAAAAACATAAATAAGTCGACAAAACCTACTAAGTCTTCAATACAGAGTAGTAGTAGTAGTGTGCCGACTAAGATACACGGAGAGTTAGGCGATGCAGTTAACCAGCTACTTCAATTACATGATCCAGAGTTGTTGAACACACAGACAAACAACCAATCATCATCATCATTATATTGAAACAGTCATCAAAAAAGAAATCAAAGAAGTCGCCACAACCAATTGATGATAACAATGAAATGATGAATAGTGATCAGAATAACGTCTTCGTTAACAGCACAACAGTTCCCGTATTTCTTCAAAATTCAATCGGTCTTAATTCAGTAACAGCAGCAGCAGCAGCAGTCAGTGGGGATCAACTTCCAGTATGCTCCTTGGTAGATAATGATATTGAAATGAAAGAATCTTCATTGATCTTAGTGGTGAACCTTCTAATAAGAGTGTCGATATACAAGGGAAAAGTAAAAAGAAAAAGGCGAATAATAATAATAAGGCACTTTTGAACACTGATAGTAGTAAGAACTCCATGTCAACGGAGTCGACTTTATTGTACAGTAATGAGAAAATTGAAAAGCCTTCATTGTCGTCTTCCCTACATGTAGTGAAGAAAACCTCCAATGATGATGTACAGCAGATTCCTGATAGTGGTGGTAATTCTAAAGCTTCTAAAAAAGTTGCTAAAACGCCGCCTGAACAACCTATTTCTGTCAGTAAGATGAAAGTCTCTCTTCCTAAAGAAGCAAAGAATAAGAAACTTCAATTGAAGAAGAAGCAGAAATCAAAGAAGAGTAAGTTGGATGGTGACCTTCATCAGATGAATTCATTGAATGATGAGTCTGTCGGGAAGTCAAAGAAACCTCATGATGTTGATGATTACTAATAATAATAATAATGACAAGGAATCTCAAGAAAACACTAGAAAACGTCGTTTTCCAAGATCTTATGCAACACAAGTAAGTCGTTTCTTTATTGTTATTAGTTATATTAGTCAGGAAATATGTAAGGAAATGTAAAAATAAAATAAATAATGATAGTAGCGATAGTGATAATAACAATAATAATGATAATAATAATAATATTAATGACGACACCAACAATAAGGAATCTAAATCATCAGTAGTAATTCCATACAAGGAAGGAACCTCGGAAACCTTACGCAGAATTCTTAACAAGGCAGGAATAAAAGTGGCTGGCATTCAAACCAACCACAAACTCAATTAGAAACAAGCTTTGTTGGTTAAAGGATCAATCCTGTGGAGCCTTTAAAACAAAACAATTTAGTTTATCTAATACCTTACTGGAATGATTGTCAGGTCAAATACATAGGTCAAACTAGTAGAACAGGGGCAGTCAGACTAGCTGAACATAAAAACTTAGCAAAATCTAGATTGGTTGATCCAAATAAGATAAGAAATCTAGAGAATAGTTCAGCTATAGCACTCACTACATGCAGTTACACACAACCATACAATAGGAGAGATGGGATAGGATGACAGTTTTAAAATCTAATGTAAAGGAGTGAGGGAGAGATTGATAACAGAAGCTTTGTTTATCGAATCAACTGCAAATACATGTAATAGGAATGATTCAACACCTGTCCCAGATATGTGGAAAATTCTACTACCCCTACGACGACAAATAGGAGAGGACAAAGAAAACTATAAAACTCAAGTTTCGAAGTCATGTGATTATAATTGATGAAATGATTATGAACAATAAATTTTGTTCGAAACAGTGTCATCCAGTAAATAATACTGTTCCACTAACTGTGTGATACATCTAATAAACAAACTAATATGGAATTACTTACTACCACAGTGCCCAAGTTTTACACATATATTAATAGTTATATTGCTGTTGTGATTACTTATTAGTGTTTTTAATAATAATAATAATAGTAATTTGCTTTATTCCAGAAACAGTACTAGTGGTACAGTGTGGAATTTTCAGCACATATCTACAATATTTGCATCTAATTTTACAAGCATTTAAAAGGAGTATTTAACAAAAAAAATAAATAGATCTAAAGACACCAGCAGCAAAATAAACAGGAAAAACAGGATAAACACAAAAATAGTTATAAATGTGAAAAAATATGAAGAAGTAGAAAGGAAAATAAACATCACATAATAATAACTCAGTATTGGGTAATGGAAGCTATGATGTGATTATGCATGGTGACAGTAAAGCTATAGTCATACAAGAAGTTATGAAATGATATTTAAGAATGTTTATCGCCAAGGTGATCAGTTAATATGGCTAAAACAACTCTAAACAATCATAAAATAACATTTCAGGGTTGTTTTTTTTATTGTCAGGTCTAATGCAGTGTTTGTAGTGGTAGTGTGAGTAATCCTGCATAATACAAAAATTTTAAGATGGTGATAATGGCGTTCACAACCAATGATTGTCAGTTAATATTGCCAAACAAAAAAAAAACAACAACAACCACAAAAACTAATAATTACATGATGGTTAATGACAGGAAAATTTTGTACTACTCATTGTGCTAATATAGTCGGAACCAGTAGATACACAAAAGAAAGGAATACAGTAAAGTACAAAAAAGTAAGCCAATGTTAATAATTTAGGTAGCTAAGTATGTTTAAGAAGGAGTTCACTATAGAATACAAAATAAGAGTGAAATAAAAGAGCCTAAAATTATGTTGTTAATAACAAAGCAAGTCATAGGTTTCACGCTTAACATTGTCTCTGTCGTTTAGAGATAGATAGTTGGACAGTTATGAAGAAGAATGAATATTGATATGACTCCTTTTGCTTCATGTATTTGACATTCAACTAGAATATACATCGGCTTTAATGCCGCTGAGATCTAGATTGTAACTGTCTCTAATATAAGTTAGAAGAAAGAGGAGAGTGAGTGAACCAGTACGTGGTAGAAATCTTTGCCATCTGTGACTGTTGTGAGAAAGTGTAAAAATATAGAGACGGCTAAGGCTGTAAATGCAGTTGACATCATGGGTCACAGATGGCAAAGATTTCTGCCACGTACTGGTTCGGCCACTGTAAGTAATGTCGCTCAAATTTCGTTGAAGTAGTGTAGGTGTTTATACATTTTATCTACGTCTTGACTGTTGTAAGGTCATACTTCTTCATAAGTTACAGGATTTCATCATGAGCTGACATTGGTTAGAGAACCATTGGAAAACCTGGGAGTGTTGGACAGCTGTTTCGTCCTAGTTTGGGGCTGTTCAGCAGTACGCACCAACCGGGGTTCGAACCCAGGACCTCGCGGTTACAAAGCCAGCGAGCTCGCAGACCATTAAGCCACTGGGACCCGATGCCCTTGAATTCTAACTTCTGCCAATTCACGATATAGCGCAACCGCTAGCCAATGTCTTCCATGGCGAGTATTTGTCCTCACACCCGACCTGCTGCACCCTACTGGTCACGACTTCCCACTGGAACCCCAGGTAACTACCTACCTGAATAAGACCAGTCGCCAGTGAGCATTTCATTGATATTCAAGTATTGGTTTGTAGGGATTTGGTTGATTGGTTACAGGATTTCATCATGAGCTGACATTGGTTAAAGAACCATTGGAAAACCTGCCAGGGAGTACTGGACAGCTGTTTCGTCAGTCTAGTTTGGGACTCTTCATCAGTACGCACCCACCGGGGTTCACTTTCATTGCGACTAACCTCGTGGTTTTTAACTGCATTTCAAGTATGGTAGTGTATCGCAATGAAATAGGGAGCAACTGCTGGAAGTAACTGGCGATGCTGGATTATCTCTTTTCCATACCCATTGGGATTAGTTATCCAAAAGTATTGACCAAAATACAAAAAAGCCTGTATTATAATGATAAGAAAGGGGTTGGAAATATAAGTAAGGGGTGGTGGTGACGATGTCATCAGTTGGTTATGTCTTAATAGGCCAACAAGGAAAGGATAATGGCTGTGGGTACGAACTTCTTTTGAATGCATAGTTTTGGTTTAATAGTTCGAATGCCTATCGCCTCAGCTGTGTGCAGTAGACGAATACGAAGTCTATTGGAAAGATTCGGTGGGATACGATGAATTACCTTGAAAGCTCTCGTTTTCTCCACTACATGACCACTATCAACTAAATGTGACAAAATGGAGCTATGGATTGTTTTTGTCTGTCCTTTGCCAAACCACCACGATGGGAGATGTTCAGTAACGATACGTTGGTTAAGCTGTCTAGTAGTACGCCCAACATAACTGTCACCGCAGGTGCAGTTGAATTGATAAATGCACATAGATGTGGCAAAACTATCTAGCTTATCCTTCGTTTGCGTCCCAAGCATTCGTCGACTAGAGAATGACAAACATAGATAGGTTCACCACATAAAACGTTCTTCGTATACTCCTGGAAAGTCTCTGGAATAAAATCTCACTTGACAAGTCACCATTAAACTGTAACTTGATAAATAGAGGTTTTTTACGTGCAGTCATAGTCTCAGAAGGTTTTCTCTCTAATGTTTCCATATGTTTCTTTATGAAACTACTCGGATAGCCCATCTCCATCAAGGAATCATGAATATATATTCAAATTCCTTTTGTAAGTGGTCATCCGTAAACTATCTTTCTTGTTCTGCTCGTAAGATATTTAACAACATTTCTTTTATATTTAATGGGCATGTAACTAAGGAAGTGCCGCATCATCCTGGAGAGAATCAAACATGCCCTGGATGAAAAACTTCGACCGGAACAGGCTGGATTCAGGAGAAACAAGTCATGCATTGATCAGATCGCCACATTACGGATCATCATTGAACAAAGCTTGGAATGGCAATCACCTCTCTATCTCAACTTCATCGATCGAGAGGTGCTTTGGAAACTACTTCGCTACTATGGGGTGCCACCGACAATTATACATCTCATCCAACAGCTGTACGACAATGCTGCATGCCAAGTAATCCACAATGGGAAACTTACGGAATCCTTCGAAGTGAGGAGAGAAGTAAGAGAAGGCTGGCTGCCTACTATAGTCAATGAATTTCCTGATTGCAGTAGATTGGATAATGCGACAAACAGCGGGCAATGAGGAAACAGGCATAAAATGGACTCACACAAAGAACTTGGAGGATCTGGACTTCGCCGATGATATATGTCTGATTTCCCACAAACTGAAAGTGAAAAGTAACAAGTTGGCAGAAGAAGCATCAAAGATAGGACTTCAGGTGAACATAGAGAAAACGGAGGTGATGAAGATTCCTGGCCAACACCAACAGCCACAGCAACAAAAACAGACAGCAATCAGCATAAATGGGAGGAACCTGAAAGAAACAACTTCTTTTACCTACCTGGGAAGCATCGTTTCAACTAAAGACGGACGGAACCGAGGATATCAAAGCAAGAATCGGAAAAGCAAGACAAGCTTTCACTACTCTCAAGTCTGTGTGGAGGTCAACAACACTCAGCATCAAAAATAAGATCCGGATTTTCAACTCCAATGTGAAGTCAGTCAGTGCTACTATACGGATCAGAGACTTGCACTGCGCGTCATAAAGAGCATCTCAAACAAACTACAGACCTTCATTAACAGTTGTCTTCGCTCAATACTCAAGATCATATGGCCGGCCAGAAAAGATCAGCAACAGGAATCTCTGGCAATGAGCGAACCAACCCAGCAGGAACCGATTGTGCAACAAATAGGCAGGAAGAAATGGAGATGGATTGGCTGGCCATACTCTGAGGAAACCATCAAGTGAGTACATCACTAGACAAGCCATTGCTCGAGTGGAACCCGACCGAATGGGAAGCGGCGAGTTGGTCGTCAGTGCAAGGGTGACTTGGAGGAGGTCATGTGAAGAGGAGATGAAAGCGTGTGGGCAGACTTGGAGCCAGGTGAAGACTCTAGCAGAGAACGGAACGCAATGGAGACGCACGGCTGAAGCCCTATGTTCCTCTAGGAATTAAAGGAAACAATAATAATAATAATAACTAAGGAAGTGTGTGTATTCCCATGTGAATGTACTTTTTCTGTACACGCTTCTCCCAAGTGACCCATCTTCTAGTCTACTTTTTTTTAAAATACTGTAAACAGTGTGTACTTTTACATTCGATTTTTTGGTGATTACGTTCGACTAAAAGTTCATGGTCATAGATAACTGAAAATGAAAAATATATATGTGTATATGCGATATACAATGGTGTGTATGTGTGCGTGTGAATGAAGGGAAAATTTTGTAAATATTTACTAGCCTCTCCATAAGAAGATATATAGACAATCGGGAATTTAGATTAAATATGATTGATTTTCTATAGATGGTTTGTAAGGATTAGATTTGTTTTTGCGAGTTGATCACGAATTGATATCAGTTAGAGAACCTGCAGGGAGTACTGGACGACAGCTGTTTCATCCTAGTTTAGGAATCATCGGCAGTACGCACCCACTGCCAGGGTTCGTACCCAGGACCTTCCGGTTACAAGGCAAGCTTGTAGACCATTCAGACACTGGTACCCAACCCAATTCAATGGCCAATTCACGAATTCTAACTTCTACCAATTCGTGATGCATTTAGCGCGACCACCAACCAATGTCGTCGGTGGGACATCCATCCTCACACGTGACATCTGGATGGACCTCACTGGTCACGACTTCTCACTAGAACTAACTCCAGGAAACTCCATCCTGTAGCAAGTCACTAGCGAGCATCAGATTAATTTTCTATAGTTTTGGTTTGTAAGGATTAGTTTTGGGGTCGCGCTAAATGCATCACGAATTGGTAGAAGTTAGAATTCATGGGCTGGCCAATGAATCGGGTCAGTCCTAGTGGCTGAATGGTATACGAGTTTGCTTGCCTTGTAACCGGAAGGTCCTGGGTACGAACCCTGGCAGTGGGTGCGTACTGCCGATGATTCCCATACTAGGCTGATGAAACAGCTGTTCAGTACTCCCTGCAGGTTTTCAATGGTTCTCTAACTGATATCAATCCGTGATCAACTCGTAAATATGATTGATTTGTGATACATATACATTTTTATTTATTAATCAGGACTTGCTATGCATCAGCTAATATCACACCTTCACGTCTGTTCAAGCTTTTGCGATTCACCGATATATATATTTCCCCAAAGAAGTTCAAACCAGTTTGCCGAACACAGAAAACGTTGGAACTACTCATTTCAGTTTCTCTGAAATTTTACAAATTTAATTTTTACTTATTCTGTTTCATTTGGTTGAAATCGTCGATGGCAAGCAAACTCTTACAGAGCTATTCACAAAAGACAATCACTTATTAGATGATTGGAGGCAATTGACACGAAGACTTGCTGGCGCTCGCCAGTCAGCAAGAAGTATCTGCAGTCTTGAAGTAACTCATGTCCGTCTTGAGATCCGAAACCGTATTACCCACTGAGCTATTCGGACTCGCGATTGACCTCCTGTAGGAGGACTGTATTGGGTAGTTTTATTGGACACTTGGTAGTTAGTAACACCAGTATCATTCGTCTAGTCCTTCGGTTGTTTGTTTGGTGTAGACTGAATTCTATCAGTCAGTCAACTTTGCCGTCATTGTGCAATCTGAATTGTTTTTATTATTAATATCTGTGTAAAACTTGGGCACTGTGGTAGTAGGTAATTCCATATTAGTTTGTTTATTAGATATATCACACAGTGAAACAGTATTATTTACTGGATGACACAGTTTCGAACAAAATTTATTGTTCATAATCATATCAATTATAATCACATGACTTCGAAACTTGAGTTTTATAGTTTTCTTTGTTCTCTCCTATTTGATCATAGGGAATAAAAAGACAGTTGCAGCCAGAAAATTTTCTTTTCGACGAAGTCATCATCTAGGCTGTACATTCGTGTAGGGGTAGTAGAATTTTCCAGATATCTGGGACAGGTGTTGAGTCATTCCTATTACATGTATTTGCAGTTGATTCGATATGATTATGAGCAATAAATTGTGCTCGAAACGTCATCAGTAAATATTACTGTATAACACTGTGAGACTCTTCAAAAAAAAATTTACCCATAATGAAACAAAGCTTCTGTTATCAATCTCTCCCTCCACACTGTGACATTAGATTTTAAAACTGTCATCCTATCCCATCCTTTTGTGTGGCTGTGTGTAACTGCATGTAGTGAGGGGTATAGCTGAACTATTCTCTAGATTTCTTATCTTATTCAGGTCAACCAATCTAGATTTTTCTAGGTTTTCATGCTCGGCTAGTCCGACTGCGCCTGTTCTACTACTTCAACCTATGCGTTTGACCTGAAAATCATTGCAGGCAGGGTATTAGACAAACTAAATTGTTTTGTTTTAAAGGCTCCACAGGATTGATCCTTTAACCGACAAAGCTTGTTTCTAATTGAGTTTGTGGGTGTGAATGCCACTTTTATTATTATTTTTTTCATTATTTATTATTTATTGTTATTATTGCAAACTTGACTGATTTGAATTCAATCTACACCAGCACCAAGGACTGGAAGCATGACGCCAGTCACTTCCTAGTGTCCAATGAAATTTACAAGCTTAAGATGCCTACTCCTTGAGATTCGACAACTTTGGAAATACATCTCCATATGACTGACTCCAAATTTTAGCTAATATGAATTAAAAGTCAATCTGAACGAAGAATATTCATTTCACAATAATTTCTCCTCTTCAGGTTCTTACAATTAGAAAACAATTATAATATTTATTGTCGTTACAATAACAATAATGATAGCCAGTTATGCGGTGGATCCCTTTTTTAACGTGGAATAACAGATTAGTTATGGGGTATCAAAATAAATAGTCATATTTGTGTGACGAACATGCTAGGCTGAAATCGATTAGAAAATATTGTAGAATGGGAGACAATGGTGGTGATTAGGCATAATAGATTTGTTTCTGTCGTTCATGTAGTTCAAGTTATGTAGGGTGCACGATTAGGCAGGTTCGTCTACGGGTTTGAGAACATTTACCAGCTTGGTTTAGCAGGGGGGAAATTAAGTACATAAAATGCTCGATCCTGTCATACTTGGTCGACACTAGACATAGTATCGACGTCAACACAGCTTTCAGAGTTATATACCGAATTCCGAAGTCATTACCACGTACAGTTTTCTTACATATGCTACACATAGCTGAAGCTGTTATCCTAAGGTCGACTGAACGGGAACTTTGTATCCAAGAAGAATACGTCCAGAGAGGTTGTTCCTACCATGGTCAAACTTGGATTGGTGCTTCTTCTCCTTAACCCTCTTGGTTTTTTTCTTTATTTGCTTATTATTACAATTATTATTATTATTCGTCATAATGTATGCTCTTCATGAAAACATTCTCTCAATACTGTCGAATGTTCCATTTGTACTATCCGAACTTATTATTATTAATGATATCATTTCTTTTCTCAATGTATGCCTTCACTCGTTTCATTTTACACATTTGTTATTTCATTATGAACCTCTCATTGCAGTCTTACTATCTCCTCCTCTTTAATACATACCACTTTGTACTAGCCACTCACTCACCTGACACCCTTTATAACCTTGAACTGACTTGTAAGTTTTCCTACCCCACACTCTACAAATCTATTATGACTAATCACCACGATTGTCTACCATTTTACAATATTTTGTAATCGATTTCAGCCTAGCACTTTTGTCACAAACTAATCTGTTATTCTAAGTTAAAAATGTATCCGCCGCATAGCCAACTGGCTCGCATTATTGTAACGACAACAAATATTATAATTGTTTTATAATTGTAAGAACCTGAAGAGGAGAAATTATTGTGAAAAGAATATTCTTCGTTCAGATTGACTTTTAATTCATGATATCGAAAAATATTTCACACTATTAAATAATATGAATTCGCTAAATCCAAGATAGAAATATCTTTAAGCAAAAGTATTGTATTCCGGAACACCTGTGAATTTTTGGCAGAAATTCCCCAATATATATTTAATACCTTCCCAATTTTTTTTTTATCCCAGGTTGATCCGAGTTCTATTCGTTCTGCTCGTAGAGCTGCTAAACGACGAAAAACCGACAAACCCGTTGAAGAGAAACATGACGATTTATCAGAAAAACCTGATCAGAAGAGAAAGAGAACAACTAAACGTAAACGGAATCAAATAATGAAAAAATGGTGTATACGCTCAAGTTTACGTGAGAGTGGAGTCATAGTCATCTTGCTGGCAGGACGACATCGTGGTAAACGTGTCGTTTGCTTGGGTAGACATAAATCCTCTGGTCTGTTACTGGTGACTGGACCATATCGTTACAATGGCTGCCCGTTACGTCGTGTTCATCCAAACTATGTAATTGCTACAAAGACGAAAATTGATTTGAGCAATGTAAGTTTAAAAATTTCTTTTTTAATGTTCTGCTTAACCTCCTTACTTTAACGATGTTATTATTATTGTTCCCTTGGGTTCCTAGTGGAACATAGGGCTTCAACTACACGTCTCCACTTGCTTCTGTCTTCTGCTATACTTTTCACCTGCATCCATGTTAATCCACACTGTTTCACTTCCTCTTCACACGATCTCCTCCATGTCACCCTTGCACTGACGTCCCACTCACCGTTTCCCTTTTGGGTTCCACTCGAGCAATGGGCTGACTCGCGATGTCACCCAGTGGCCTCCTCAGCGAGTGTCCAATCCATCTCCACTTTCTCCTGCATATTTGTTGTGCGATTGGTTATCGTTTTGTTTTGTTTGTTCCCATAGTTTCTTGTTGGTTCTTGTTCTTTCCGGCGGCCATCTGATCTTGAGTATAGAGCCAGCGAAGACAGTTGTTGATAAAGGTGTGCAACAGGCTGTTGGAAATATTCTTTGTGACCCGACAAGTTTCTGATCTGTACGTATAGAAGAACTGATTGACTTGACGTTTGTATTGAAAATCCGAATCATTTTGTTGTTGATGCTGAGTGATGAAGATTTCCAGATTGGTTTCAGGTTGATGAATGTGTTTCTCGCCTTCCCGATTCTCGATTTGACATCCTCGTCCGTCCGTTCCTCCTGTAGTTGAGACAATGCTCCCTCCCTAGATAAGTGAATGAAGTAACCTCTTTCAAATCCCTCCCGTTGATGGTGATTGGCGCTGGATGTTGCTGTTCTGCTGTTGTTGCTGTTGTTGGTTGGTTATTTTCATAACCTCCGTCTTGTCTATGTTCACCTGGAGTCCTGTCTTCACCGGCTGCTTCTTCGACCAGTTTGTCGGTTTTCGCTTGTAAGTCTTCGATTTTGTGTGACATCAAACATAAATCATCCACGCGCGAAATCCAGGTCTTCTAGGTTCTTCACGTTGGCCCAGGATATCCCTGTCTTCTCGTTTCCCACTGTCTGAAGACGCATAATCCAGTCCACCACAATTAGGAATATCATTGGTGATGCCAAGCTATTATTACTGATTATTGTTCTCTTGGGTTCCGAGTGGAACATACGGCTTCAGAAGTACGTCTCAACTTTGTCCTATTCCCTGGTGTCCTCTTTAGCTGGCCCCACGATTGCTCATAGTCGCTCACCTCCTCCCCGTACGATCTCCTCCACGTCACCTTCGGACCCATACCCAACTCTTTGCTTCCCATTCAGGTTCCACTGAAGAGCTGGCCTGGCGCACGATGTCACTCAACGATCTCATCGAATTCTGTCAGATCCATCTCCATTCTCTTTTACAGATTTGTTTAGCGATAGGTTCAGGATTGGTTACTTCCCAGAAGTTCTTGTTTCTAATTCTTTCTGGCTAGTCATCTGATGTTCAAGGTGGAGCCAATGAAGTGGGCAGCTGGTGATAAAATTCTGAATTAGCCTGTTGGGATTGCTTTTCATGACGCACAGGGCAAGTTTCTGACCAACTTGGAAAAACTGACTGACTGACTTAACATTGGTGTTTGAAATCCGACGTTAGTCCTTCATACTGTGAGTGCGGAAGATCTACACACTGATTTCAGAGTGATGAATGTCTGTTTTGCATTTCCGATCCTCATCCGTGCCGTCTACTTGTAGTTGAAACGATTATTATTATTGTTTCCTTTAATTCCTAGAGGAACATAGGGCTTCAGCCGTGCGTCTCCATTGCGTTCGGTTCTCTGCTAGAGTCTTCACCTGGCTCCAAGTCTGTCCACACGTTTTCATCTCCTCTTCACATGACCTCCTCCAAGTCACCCTTGCACTGACGACCAACTCGGCGCTTCCCTTTCGGGTTCCACTCGAGCAATGGCTTGTCTAGTGATGTCACTTGATGGTTTGTTTTCTCAGAGTATGGCCAGCCAATCCATCTCTATTTCTTCCTGCCTATTTGTTTCACAATCGGTTCCTGCTGTGTTGGTTCGCTCATTGCCAGAGATCCCTCTCTGTTGCTGATCTTTTCTGGCCGGCCATCTGATCTTGAGCGAAGTATTGAGCGAAGACAACTGTTAATGAAGGTCTGTAGTTTGTTTGAGATGCTCTTTATGACGCGCTGGCCAAGTCTCTGATCCGTATGTTGAGTAGCACTGACTTCACATTGGAGTTGAAAATCCGGATCTTATTTTTCATATCGAGTGCTGAGTGTTGATCTCCATACAGACTTACTTGAGAGTAGTGAAAGCTTGTCTTGCTTTTCCGATTCTTGCTTTGATATCCTCGTCAGTTCCGTCCGCCTGTAGTTGAAACGATGCTTCCCAGGTAGGTAAAAGAGGTTGTTTCTTTCAGGTTCCTCCCATTTATGCTGATTGTTGTCTGTTGTTGTTGTTGCTGTTGCTGCTGTTGGCCAGGAATCTTCATCACCTAACTCTGTTTTCCCTATGTTCACCTGAAGTCCTATCTTCTCTGGATGCTTCTTCTGCCAACTTGTTGCTTTTCGGTTGCATATCTTCCAGTTTGTGGGAAATCAGACATATATCGAAACGATGATAAGTGAAGGAAATGACCTCCTTGAAATTTCTCCTGTTGATAGTGATTTGGGAGCTTGTTGTTTTTAATGAAAACAAAACACGTAGTTCAGCGAAGAGTCTCTTTTCGCCGGTGAATTCATTTTCTTAGCTGTACAATCGCAAATATACATGTGTGTTATTTTGTATGTATGTGTACATTAACTTTGTCAAACAAAAATACAATTGGTTATAGTTATTTTAACTAAACAGGTGAAGATTGGTTGTTGGAGTTACGTAATACAAAATCAGTCAAGAAAATTAGGTGTTAATGAAATTAGGGTAATAACAAAGGTGATGAGTTGTCACGAATAGTTTTTAAAAGGAGTTATGTAATAATATGAATAGTTTGATGATTGAGTTTTACTCAGGATACACATAGGAAAAAAGTAGATAATACGAAATTACGTAAGAGTTCTAAATGAATAGAAGAATTATAAGCAATTAAAGAACAGGCAAACAAACAAAATTAAGTCATCAAAAATCAACAAAGTTGTTACCATGACAGTAGAAGTGGTTGAGTAATTCTCTTTTGTATGCACAGCTCCGGTTTTTCTATGTGAATAGCCAGAGCTTCAGCGATACAAAGAAGACGAAACCGTATTGCCTTTGTTAGGTGATTCGTGACTCTGTAGATTACTTTGAAGCAGGAGGCGTTTGTTGAGATGGAATGATCAGTGTTAACCAGGTGTTCAATTATCGCACTCCTTATTGCACCACTATATTGCCTTTTCGCAACCATGCTGGCTGGATAGTGTTCTTGAATCCTCTTGGACAGGGTGCGCGTCGAACGACCGATGTACCTGGCTGGCTCCACAGCAGCAGGTGAACTGATATATACTGCACATAGAAGTGGTCAGATGCGGGATCTTGTCCTTGAGGCTTCTGCAGATCAGTGGGCGACTGGAGAATATTCTTCTGCAAAGAATGTTTATCTCAGAGATGATGTGATCCTTCTCTTGAGAATATCGCTTGTCAAGTCTCCCTTGAAATCCAAGTTCATGTAGAGTTTCTTTTTAGGCGCAATTAAAGTTTCGTTTCTCCGAATTCTTGGTTTGATATTTTTGTCGATGAATCTTATTGGGTAGTGTTGTTGCTTGGTTACCTTCATCACCTCCGCCGCCTGCTTCTTCTACCAATTTGTTGGTTTTTGAACTTCCCTGTCGACTGACTGGACTGAAGTGCTCGGCATCAGGTTGGCGTGTCAGCTTCTTGTGAGGATACTTTGACGCGATGTCTGAAGATTTAACTTGGACCACTACAGCTACCCCACCTCTTGTGCAATGAGTATCGGTTGTTATTTAATTCAATTTGAACTTCCCCGTTGATTGATGATGAACACTTCAGTCCAATCAATCAACGGACAAGTCCCGATAACTGATGTTGTAGTAGATAGTACTTTTGTAACAACAGAAGACAAGGGCCAGGCAACAGATCATTTATTAAGGAAAATCAACACATATTTATAGATTTTAATGTACATTATTGTAGATTATTGTTAGTAGAAAATACAGTCTTCTGATTGCTTGTTTCTCACAGAAAGTTAACCTTCCATCTCTTTGTAGCTGTGTCAGATCATCCATATGCTAACTGTATCCGCCTACGCGAAGTCTTTGTTCTCATTTTCTCACCACCAATATTGGGGACATAAACATTGACGTCAATTACTGTCTACCAACTTTGGCTTAAACTCATGTTGCATAATATGAATAAACCTGATGTTAATGAAACAGTATGGAGACAAGTGTTCGAAATAAATTATGTAATAGGTAGATAGAGTAAACAGGGGTTATTCAAGAAAGTGATGTTAATAAATATCATACGAAAAAAGTACACAAAATAGTATTAATAACAAAATATTGGTAACAACTGAGCTTGGCATGACACTACCTAAGGTAGAAGGATAGGGTGGAGAAGTTTCTTTTTGTGTACGCATAAATGAGAGTCTTCTATCCTGGACCGACGTGAAGAACCTAGAAGACCTATATTTTGCGAATGAATTATGTTTGATGTCACACAAAATCGAAGACTTACAAGCGGAATGGAAACCGACAAACTGGTCGAAGAAGCAGCCAGAGAAGACAGGACTCCAGGTGAACATAGACAAGACGGAGGTTATGAAAATAACCAATCAACAACAACAACAACAACAGCAACATCCAGCGCCAATCACCATCAACGGGAGGGATTTGAAAGAGGTTACTTCATTCACGTATCGAGCTAGGGAGCATTGTCTCAACTACAGGAGGAACGGACGGACGAGGATGTCAAATCGAGAATCGGGAAGGCGAGAAACACATTCATCAACCTGAAACCAATCTGGAAATCTTCGTCACTCAGCAACACTCAACAACAAAATTCGAATTTTCAATACAAACGTCAAGTCAGTCAGTTCTTCTATACGTACGGATGAGAAACTTGGCCAGTGTGTCACAAAGAATA